ATGATTGCTACTCTGCGAGCTGATGTCTCCCTGATACGTAGTGTCTGAGTGTGTGTGTGTGTGTGTGGGTGTGTGTGTGTGTGTATGTGTGTACGCGCATCCACATGCGTGCCTGTGCCTGTGCATGTGCACAGAGAGGGAGAGAGGATGCATCCCTGTCCCTTTGTTTCTCATCCTGTCCAACCCCGCCAATGGCCTGGTGATTGAGGGCCTGGAGCACGTACACCTCCTCACCCACGCTGAAGGCATCTCTGGTAATGGCATCTGGCCCATATGCAGATCTAGCTCGACTTGGTGCTGACATCAGCCGGTTTGTGGCACCTCAGCGTATTTCTGGGTTGCAAATGAGAGTTTCTTAGTGCCAGGCTCGCTTGGGCTGTCACATCAGGTGATGAATTCTCTGCATCAATGGTGTGCTGCTAAGGTAAGCTCAGAGGAGAGTGAGAAGGACAGAAGATGGGACAGGCAGTTCTCAGCCCATCAGCCACTGCTCTGGGCTAGAACAGTACTGAATCCATAGCAGAGAGTGAGAGGCAACTGCATGTGGCCTCTGTTCTGGCTAAAGGAGTGTAGTAGAGAAAAGCCAGGGCTGCACTTACAATTCTAAGTCTTGTGCCAAGAGAAATCACGTGGGTTTTCTCATCTGCTATTGCCCCATCCTCAGCTCAGTAGCTAACTCCTTAAAATGAAGTTCTAGCAAAATTTGGTGTGTATCACATTCACTAGGGCAGCCTCTATAGTAAATAGTCATTTTTGTTCCTGAAACACTTTGTTTCGAGACATCTTTATTTTGTCTTGAAAATCCAGATTATTAATCTTGGAAACTTGCTGCATCTTGTCCTAATTTTATATCCTACTAGCTTCTCCCTCTGTGAGGTTCCAGGCTCAGAGTACTCTGCTGGCCTAAACTCCATCTGATGGAATTAAAAGTTACGTGGGGTCATGCTTCCCAGTGCTGGCATCACAGGCCACAGAATTACCTGTATAACTGGTGCAAACGTAGGATCTTTTCCACTTGAAATGCTTTCAGAGATAAAAAGGGCACCTCTGGTTTTGCACATTTTATCTCCCACCCCTGTAGCTCCTCGGTGTGGTTTTTGATATTAGCATTTTGAAGAGTGTCCATTTTATAGGATAATTTGCATCACAGAGTGGAGTGGGGAGTTAGAGTGCAGAAGAAGAAGAAAAAGAAAAGTCTTATTTTCTGCCACCTCCAACGGTTGTTAACGAGAGCATCCTCTACCCTCACTGCGCCCAGAGATAAATAAACACACAAAGGCGGAGTTTCCTGCTTAATATTCACCCTCTGTCGAGGAAGAGGGAAGGAATTGCTCCCCAGGGTTAACGTGGCGGTAAGCGAGGTCAGCTGTTTCCCAAGACGGCGCAGCCTCTGAACGTCTTACATTAAAGCTGGAATGATACAGCTGAAGCAGCCAGCGTGATTTACGGGAACCCGGTTAAGTTGGGTTTTCTCGCAGCTTCTTTCTCGTGAAGGTTTTGGCAGCAGCGGCAGCAGACAGTATACTATTGTATAGAGCGCCTCCAGAGAAAAGAATTCTTCCACATTTCCCAGTGCCAGACATGCTTCTTCTAAAAGGTGTCTGTGTTTATCTAACTTGAACCCGATAGGCTATAGTGTCTTAAATTTGGTGAGAAGTAGGGGGTCACCACTGGCATATCCTGGAGAAGGATGGACAACAGTCCCATTTTGCCCAGGCACTCAGCGGTCTCAACTGGGATGCTGGGACGTGGGACTTTCAGTATTGACATGGAAGAGTCCTAGGCAAACTGGGGGGTATGCCTGTGTGTGTGTGTGTGTGTGTGTGTGTGTGTGTGTGTGTATGTTTATGGATGTTTATGGAGCGGGGAGAGTGAAAGAAAGCACGCTAAAGAGGTTTTTTAATGTATTTCTTTTTTCTCTCTTTTTTTCTTTTTTGAGTTGAAGTCTCACTCTGTCGCCCAGCCTGGAGTGCAGTGGCCGCTCCCAGCCACCGCAGCCTCGACCTGCTGGGCTCCGGCAATCCTTCCACCTCAGCCTTCCAAGTAGCTGGAACTACAGGCACACACTACCACACTGGCTAGTTTTTGATTCATTGTAGAAATGAGGGCTCATCAAGTTGCCCAGGTGGGTCTCGAACCCGCGGGCTCAGGCAATCCACTCACCTCAGCCTCCCAAAGGCACGGGATTACAGGCTGAGCCACCGAGCCCAGCTTGTATTTCTTTTTCATAGAAGGTTTTCTGTATTCTTCTTCACCAAGCCAACTAACCAAATTAAAATGCTGGTTTTGATATTAGCTTGAACTAATTCCTGTCTCTGCCATCTGTAATTTGTCTGTACCCCTTGGCATCTTATGCACTGGTCTGAGAAAACAGAACTTTTTAAGAAAAGAGATCAAATGTCTACTGTTTGAGTTATTTCAGGTCAGAGATGACTCAAAAAGAAGTCTTCCAGAATCTTCTGGGCAACATGGAATGCCTTGACAATTTCTTGTTAATGAAACACCACAGAACTAATTTTCTTTACTAATGACCTCATTTTGGGCACCCCTTATTGTTATTTTAATAGAATTGTAGCATGGTTAAATAATAGTAATAGCGGTGATCTGTGGGCAGTGTAATGAGACTCCTTGGTTCCATGTGCTATGACACAGATGCTAACTGGTTTCCTAGAGCTTTCTTATCTGCTTGTCTCATACCAGGTTAATTCTGAAATACGTGACTTTTTCCTTCTTTTTTTTAACCAGCCCTTTACTCTGCTTTTTGACAGTATACCTAAAGAACTTCTGTCAAGTTTCCTTAAAATTCTGTACTGTTCAGCCAGTCCCCACCCCCACACATACATACCTGCCTATCTCTCTATCTAGATGTCTGTCTAGATATCTATCTGGCAAACATACACATATAAAAATGATTAGGATAGACAGATATCAAAATGCTAATTGTAATTATCTGAATAGTAGGATTATGGGTGTTATATATTGTGTTTTTTATGCTTTACTATTTTCCAAATATTATATAAGCATATCTTATTTTTATAATAAAAAGGATAAATGACATGAAAGTGTTGTCTTTGGAGAAAGATAAATATAACTACCATTGTCAGTCAGCCTCAAATGGCACCAGAATACATGTTGTTGGTTGGGAAGGAAGGCCACGATGCCATCACCCCTCGTGACAGATCTGCATTAGGAATTTGCATTAATTCTGTTCTTGATTTTGATTAGCTTTGGCCCCCCAAAAGATGGAAAAGCCTTCTGTTTTGAAAGAAAGAAAAATTTTCCTCCTTATTGTTCTCCATCTAATCTCCCTATCACAAACAACAGGGGGAAATGCCCTCCAGCAGAGAAAAGGAGTTAAGAGAAATGGCCTGACTGGGTTAGGAGACGGAGGATTAGAACTTGAGGGCAGTTATTCGTTGACCCACAACTGAAGAGCAGTGTTCTTGGCATTGCCCAGGGTGCTGTCTTGGTATTCAGCTCTGCTTTTCAGTGAGATGTGGACAAAACCTACCCTCATGCTGAAGTAACAGGTTGGAGCTGCTTTGAATGAAAAGTCTGGCTTTCCTGGGGAAGTGGGAGAATCTTTTGGGTAAATCAATGATAAAGCCAAGTAAATATAAAAAAGACAGAGACAAAGGAGCCTGATTCAAAGCTCAGAGGCCTATGTTCTGTCTCAGTCATGAACCAGGACACCTGCTTTTCTCTTGCCCCTCTGCTGTCTTAGGAATTAAATGTGAACAGACATTTGCTTGTACGTGTTAAGTGCCAGGCATTGCCCTAGATCTTGGGGTACACACGAGTGGAAGCAGTGGTCCCTCCCAGATGGCAATGTAAGACCTTCCCCATCTACCCCAAATTTTTTCAGAGAATAAAATAACAGGATAGTACAACAGAAAATATTTTACCGGGAATATCTAAGACCTGCCCTAAACGACATTAACATTTCCAGACTCAGGATTATTTTAACACCAAAGGAACACAGTGGCTGGAAAAAGAAAGGCATTTTAGCACATTTGTATTTCAGGGCTTTAATATATAAACAAACATGAATTATATATCATGAATTAACCACTACCACCAATCATTCTTCGACTCTTTAGTGCTAGGATATTTTTTGAAAGGGATGGTCACTAACCAAATCTTTTTAGAATAGTTTCATTGTTTGGATGCTCCCGGATCTAGAATCTTTATACCAGCAATCTCCAAATGCAGATCAAGCTTGTAGCTTCCCACCTCCCTTGCTTGATATTCACGCAGACCAGTCCTTATAGTCGTGGCACCATTGTTTTTACCTGTAATAGTCACCTGAATCATCTTCTGTACTTTTCAAAGCTCCTCAAAGAGTGCCTCTTCCTTGAAGTAGTTCCTGATGCCCCAACCAGATGTGATATAGTTTGTAACAACAGGACTCTATCATTATTTATTAGGTTCAGCCTTGAATTATAGTTCTTTCATGGGCTTGGCTTATCTTCCTCCTTGAGGGTGTGAACTGCATCTCACTCACCCAAGAGCATGGAGTATAGAGCCTTACCTAGAACAAGTACCTGGAATCTCATAAGCATATTAGACATACAGAGCTGGAAAGAACCATAGAAAGCATTTGAGCCAACCTTCTTTTTCAAAAAGGGAGACCATGGTCAAAAAAGGTGAAGATGCTTCACCCTCAGCAACTGCTAGTTGTTACCAGAGTCAGAACCAAACCTTGAGTCTCTTGACTTGCAGGGAAGCTGGACTGCATTACAAAGTCTGTGAGAAGCATGGACACATCACACAAGTGGGAGGTGTTGATATTGTGCCCAAAGACTCATTGGGAGAACCCAGGCTCCTGTGAGGGTATGGGGGGCATGTTGTCATCCACAGTGATAGCTGCCCATCTGATGAGTGTCCCCGTGTGCCAGGCACTGTGCTAGGTCCTTACACAAGTTGCCTCATTGTCATTGTCTGCTGAAAACGGCCACCCGATCTCAGAGGACTGACTTCTCTCCCTTTTTCCCTTCTAGGCTAATGGAGGTTGGCAGGATGCTACTACCCCTTCATCAGTGACCTCCCCTACAGAAGGCCCTGGCAGTGTTCACTCTGATACCTCCAACTGATCTCCCAGCAATCGCATCCCGGCTGACCCTGTGCCCCAGTTGGGGCAGGGGCAGGAGGGAGGGTTTCTCTCCCAACGCTGAAGCGGTCAGACTGGAGGTCGAAGCAATCAGCAAACACAATAAGAGTCTCCTTCTCTTCTCTTCTTTGGGATGCTATTTCAGCCAATCTGGACACTTCTTTATACTCTCTTCCCCTTTTTTTTCTGGGTAGAAGCCACCCTTCCCTGCCTCCAGCTGTCAACCTGGTTTTCATCATCTTCCCTGCCCCTGTGCCTCTGTCCTAGACCCCTAGGGTCCCTGCCCTCTATTACATCACTGAAGGATATTTTCAACAATTAGAGCAATTTAAAGAGGGGGAAAAAATGATAAAGAAAATAATAAAAGTGTTTGTATGTTTTCATGCTGGTGGTTTGAGGAGCCAAATTTACCTCACTCGGATCCCTGCCTCCCTATGTTAACAGGCAGTCCTTCTCTGTTTCTCTTGTTACTCTCACTACCTCTTTTCAGGAATACGCCACATTGCCCTACTCATTCCAGGCCTCCTTACCTCCTCTCACTCTTTCTCCCTGGGAACAATGCTGATTGGAACACTTTCCTCCTCTTCCTTCCCAGCCCCAGGCATTCACTGGAGATTGCTATAGCTGGGCTTCTAAAGGTGCCACGTTTTCCGGCTTCAGCTCCACTAGGTTGATTCCCAGGCAAGAAGTCAGGGGGCAGGGGAGGACACAGGAACAGCAAGGGCAGAATTCCTACAGGTTTTCTCATCCTCCTGACGGCCACACTCAGTTTCAGAGGCACATTCTTTGGAGACCATTCAACACTCAACAGGTCATGTTTAGAACCTGTTGCAAAACCAGGCCTGAGTTAAGCATGGCGATGAATGCATCACTAAGGAGTAGAAGGTCTTACCCCAAGCCCTTCAACTATCCCTTCACACCTGCACACACATACATGCACAAGTAGGCGCATGCCTTTCCCAAGATCCCATATGCAAATACATACTTAGTAGCCATAGCACTGTACCCTGTGAGCTCAAGAGAGGGAATTAGCAACTCTGAGTCAAGGTCATGGACGCAGAGAAGAAATACGCATCCGAGGTTTCCAAGATCTGCAGGCCCACTAGTGGGCACCTAGCAGAATGACATACACAGGACCCAGTCGAAAGGAAGGCCAGGTTTCCAGTGTAAGCTATTCCTATTCCTACCACCTCTGGAGCACTCAGGGAGCCACGCACAGTACTTACAATGTCTGTAATGGATTTGGTTCTGTTTCATTTTTGGTTTTATATTAGGCACATTGTATTAATTATCCAAAGTGTTACAGGGCACCATGTTCTTGATCCTGACCTATTGCCCTGAAGCAGAGAGTTTTGTAAGAACGTGGCTCATGTGAACTTTCTGCTAGCTTAATTTCAAGACCTGAGAGTCATGGGGAAAGGGAAGTAAGGTTTTCATTGAAATCATCACAGGGATTGTTATTCTCTGCGAACATCTAGGAAAAACTAGCATGCACTAGAAAGCTATTCTCAAATGTCACCTGAGCTCACCATCTTCGTAGCCAAATCTATCAGCAATCGAGATGGCGGCTCTGCCTCATGATTTAGCAGGAGGTGGTTGAATCTCTTGGTGCTTCGTTCTCTTCATCTGTGAGATGGGGATTGTGATGCCTGGCTCACGAAGAGGCTTGTGAGAGACTGAAGCAATTGATTTCATTCATATCCAATCTGTAAATGTGAGTCAACATCCCTGAGCTAAACAGGTTCTTGCCATCTAGGGACCGTAAATGGTTTTCCTACTCTAACTGTTCGGTACCATCAGTACCCTGATATCAGCATGGCGACAAAGAGCAGCATTATAGTTAGTTTTCTTGGTTTGGGTCTGTTTTGTTTCTTAGGAGAGAGACAAGCTTCCAAACTAAAAACATGGAACCTGGTTCTCTTAGTCGGTACTTAAACCCAATATGTGGCCTTGTCACGTACTTGGCCCCTGTCACATTTACTCTGCTTGGGAGGCTTTCAGGGAGAGGTACCTAAGGGGTGAGGATGGCCAGCTAAGAGGGGCATGGGGATTCTGCACGGTGCTATGGTAATTAATAGAAAACCCTCCTCTGTGTGTGCTTGGGAAACCTAGGGGTGCTAGTGAAGAAAATCTGGGACTTGTGTCTTTGAAGGAAATGTAAAAAGTCAGTATTTGGCCAAATGAGATTATACCTTGGTGGCTAAAGGGCACTGGAGGAAAAACTGGGTCTCCTAACCCATGCCCTCATCAGAACAAGGCTAGATAAAGAGAGTTCCTATAAGGAGAATTTTTGTGACGATTCTATGGTGATTAGAACCAGTGGAGAACTCTGACTAAATGGCAGGAGTATATTGAAACTACCCACACAGGAACATGGCTGGATCACATCTGCTTGACTAGGGCAAAGTGCAAAAGAGACACAAAAGAATTCTTTTGGAAACAAGAAGTAACCCAGATGTGGCTTGAGTGACTTCCAGGCTAAGTTGATGAAAAAGATCAGAGCAGCGCTGCATTCGCACAGGCAACTTCTCTCCAGGCAGTATTTGCTCTGATGAACCTCTCTCAGCATCTTCCTTCACTTCACTCAGTCTCCTCTCTGCCCAGGCCTTACCCACAGCCCCCTGCCTGCCCATTGTCACTTCCGGCGTGGCAACTGTGAGATCACTCCGGGTTAAGCAAAGCAGGAGGGCACTGACAATGGGAGCATGGGCTTGGAAAGAGCGTGCCTCTGGAAATTCAGCTCCCTGGGAATTCACATCAGGCCCATCCTATCTGTACCAAAATGTGCCCCAGGATTCCTTCATTTTCTCATGGAAGTGGGAGTGCTCCATTTTCCCTGAAAGCAAATGTCCCCTGAGAAACAGTCCTCGGCCTTGGGTTTGCCCATTTTGTAACTCTTCATGACATCCTCCTTTCCATCCCTGACTCCTCCCCCGGCGTGGAATTGACTCCCGTGCAGTACTTTGGCCAAGTGGCACCTTCTTTCAGTGTACTTTTTGTTTTGCTGTGGTGGTTGTTCTTTATTTGCTGGCTGCCTTTTCTCACACATATCTTTTCCCCTCTTTCCTTCTGCTTTTTGTTTTTCTGCCCAGAAAAACCTGACTTCGATACCAAAAAAGATGAAACTACAGAAACTCAAATTTAAAAAAAACTTTAAAAAAAACAAAAAAATACTCAACGATTCTTTCAGCTTTATTAACATTTTCCATTGTTTCTTGCAACTTGTGTCTCGTTCTTTGTAGTATTGATGATGAACATTTGATAATGAATGTTCTTGTATATTCAGATAAAGAAAAAAACCAAAAAAGCGGTCTGAATTTAATAGTGTTTATAATAAAAATTTTAAAAATGACCCTCATAGCACGCAAAACAGGATGGGGACTTTCCCCTCTTCTTTCTGTGACAATGCGCATCATTCCTGCATTAGTTTTTAACACCAAACTACCTACATTCATCATTTCCCCCATTTTTCTTTTATTTTCTTGCATTTGTGAATTAGTTCAAGAATGCTAGAAAAGTGTCGAGTTGTGCACATCCATTTCTTGTTTCACAATGTTTAAAAGTGACAGTAATTCATTTTGTAAACTAAAAAAAAAAAGGTTGGAATAGTGAGCATAATAGGTACAACCTAACACATTATTATGTTTATTAACGTTGAGACCCAGAAATAAATTCTTTTCTTTTCTTTATTCCTGCTCCTAAAAGTACAAAAAAAAGTTGTATGTTTTGTTCTGTGTTATTTTGATTTGTTTATTGGGGGGGCTTTTTTAATTGTCAGGATTATGATCTTGCTGTTTTTCTTCCTTAAATATGTATACGAGGTGATGTGAAAAGATACATTGGTAGGGTAGATGGTTTCCTTGTCCTGCTTTGCTTCAGAATGCAGTTGATATCAGAAGCAATGATGAAGTCTATGTTGATGTCTCATTGCTCGCCTGCACTTCCAGTGTGTGGCGCTCATGCAGTCCTTGGAAAAAATAAAATTAAGGACTTGCTTCTCCTTTTAGCCCTTTACAAATTCCAGAAATTGGTCCAGGGGAACTTTTTATAATAACAGAAAAGGCTTTTGCCTTTGTTGATTCTGAATGTCACAACTAAGTGCTTTCTTTTCTTTCTCCCTGATTAATAACAACATTCCATGAGACCTCTTCCAACTAGCAAGGATTTTTCTTCCCAAAGAATCCCGCAGGAGATACTGGTATGTTGGGCACTACTGGCTAAGTAGACTAAATTCGAGAAACAGTCCCAGGGCCTGTCTGCCTGATGAGCTCTTGAGTCCTGATTCTGGATGGAGACAGTGAGCCAGGCTTCATGATGAAGCTTGAACGCTAAGAGGTTGCATCACAGAGAGTGCACCTCTTATCAACCCCTGATTTAGGCAGCTGCTTGAAGAAAATTGCAAAACTGACTTGATTCGGAATGTTTTTATTAGTTACAGGAGAAAAGAAAGCAATATAATCTGTAAGAAACTCGATTTTAAACATCTTTCATTCAGCAAATTCTGTTCAGAAGGCAGCCAGAACTTAAGCAACAAAAGTGAAGACAGAATGCAGAATTAGGAACTGTTTCCACCCGCACACTCGTGCTCTTGTGTTTAAGTCATAATGAAATAATGATGAGCTTTTCACATCACCTTTATGGTTTCAATTCCTAGCTCAAAGCTTTCTGGAATCTTTTATTTCTTGTAAATTTTTTTTTCTTTTGTTAAAATAAATAAAACATTCAATGTTTTCCCTCTTTTCTCACTTATTACTTCTTTTCTTTGGCATTTTCATTTTGAAATGCTTTCCTTTGGTTGTTGGTTTTATTCTCCCCTTCCTCCTCCCCGTTTCTTATTATTCAGAGTATAAACCTGCAAAGCTCTGCTCTGTTTTGGTTTTGAAAGTTTAAGCTTTTCTGCTTTTGTGAGAGCACAGGCTTCTGTCCCTTTTGATTCCAACTGAACTTTTGTGTTCTCTAATGATACTAACACGGTGTAGGTTTTACAGTCTCCTAATTTGTACTGGTAATGCATATTCCAAATAAATAGTTTCTTTTGTTGCAAAAAAATATACTTGTATTTTGTGCAAATTTCTTCTCTTACTTGCTGGAAACTTATCTTCTCCCCAGCTAGGTTTGGAGTAGTATGGATTATGGTTTAAATTGTTGCCCTAATCACTTAAGGTCTACAAAGGGAGACTCCAAAAAAACTGGAATTTATTTGTTAAAAACTGTGTATTTATTCTTACATGTTTAAACTTCAATCACCTTAAAAGTATGCTCCGTCTGATGCAATACACTTATCGAGACACTTTTTCCACTGCTCAAAACAGTTTTTGAATTTGTCCATTTTGATATCTATAGTGCTTCTTCCACTTTTTGTTTTACCTCTTCCACACTGGCAAATGTTTCCCTTGAGGACTTTTTTTATCCGAGGAAACAAAAAAAAAAAGGCACTCAAGGCGAGATTGGGTGAATGGGGTGGGGGGGGGGTCATGCCGTGTTTTGGCCAAAACTGCTAAATACTCAGTGTGGTGTGGGCAGGTTGTTTGTGTAAATCACATGTCATGAAATGGGCAAACTCATTGAAGGAATTGCCAAAAAAAATTAACTGAAGTTGCATGCAGCCCCTCACAACAACATTAGCTGGAACACTGATGCTGATGGGTTTCTAGAACACATACCTTGTGGAGAAAACCTATACTATGAGGGGCCCGTCCTCTAAAAGATAATTCAGTTTTTTGGGGGGCCTCTCATCGTACATACCATGACAGGAAAAGACCTAATGGGCCATTTTCTTCATCCAGAAAATAAGGAAGAAAAGATCATTTGTGGGCAAACATTAACTGTTCTATGGGGACAGAGCACCCCAGTACAAAAAAGTAATAGGGTTATTTTCCAGAATAAATTCTAAGTTTCTAACTCATGACTGTTTGCCCTGTGATTCTCCTTTTCTTCTCATTTGCTGTGATTTGGTCATAAGGAAAATTGTGGTTCCCAAGAGTCGTGTTAGGAGAAGGAATCTAGGTTACACATAATACACAGTTGTAGCCTCTCAGAAGTATGTTCACTGTCACTCCAACGGATTTGCACATCTACCATCTGTGATGTCTACCATCCCAAATAGGCATCTCTCCCAGTAGTCTGTCTGCACTCATACTGAGCCTCTGACCTTTGAGGTTATAATGTGTTACAGAGTGTGGTGTCCCAAGAGTTCTGGCTGGATCATCAGACCTCCATGCCTCAGTCTGTGTCCCAGTTTTTAACACCATTTCCCCATTCCTAGAGTGGGAAGGAATTTTTTTTGTCTGGTTTTTGACATGCCATTGCTCTCAGGGCATCACAAGTTGTTTTCTCATTTTCATGCTGTAACTCTCCTAGGAGGCGCTGTCCAGAGCCCCGTTGAGGCAAATATGTATTGGAGGCTGAGATTCCAATCACTCAACCCCTCATCCCTATCACAATTCTAATCAATAGAAACTAGATCAAAGGAATGAAGAGCCCATGGAGATCAAATGATCACTTTTATTAACGAACAAGCTAAGGACGCAATAACCTCAAAAGTAAACAGCTATCTGTTAATGTTGAGTTGGTTATCATTGCCAGAGGCCAAAACAGGATTCGTGTTCTCGTTTCAAATCTAAACATTAGAACACGCTAATGGGAGCATGGAGAATTGTGGATCTAACTTACCCACCTAGTGCATTACTTAGAGTGGTACTAAACTGTTGTAACAAATAGACCCAAAATGTATAATACCTCAAGTGTATTACACTCCCACTTATGTAACAGCCTAAGGCAAATGTTCCTGGTCAGAATGCTTCTGCTTATGATTCAAGGATCCAGCTCCTTGTATTTTGTTGCATGTCTTTTTAAAAACTAATTTTTTTTAAGTTATTTTTTTTAAACTTAAAGGTTAGGCAAGTGAAGCAGTGGGATTAAAGAAGAAATAAAGAAATCTGGTTGTGATCTATTAGTTGCAAACACCACCGCACTTGAACTAGCCATGTCCTGTAGCTCATCCATCCTCCAGGAATCTGTAGTTTTTCACGTCTAGCCAGCAGAAGGGAAAGAATATGAAAAAGACTCCCCCACTTCTCGAGAGCCTTGGGCAAAACATCCCTTCCATTCACATTCCTAAATGCAAGGGGGCAGGGGTAGGGGTAGAGATTGGGAAAGTAGTCCCTGGCTAGGCAGCCACTTCATGGCAACAACTCCACACAGTTAGATTTTGGACAGCTGGCTTTCTCTGTCACACCTAATGACCAAAAGTATAAGTGAGAGCAAAAGACCAGTCCATGTGGCTGTTTCACTAACTGAGCATGCTCCCAGAGAAAACATTTCCAGTCAACACTCCACACTTGGCTTTATTGCTCTTCGGTAGTGAAAGGGGATTGTGTCTGGAGCCAGAAAGGGGTTGTGTCTGGGACCAGAGATGTTCATTCCCATATTGCCCCTGCAAGGAAGAGCAAATGGAAGTCCCTGCCTCTATGGAAACATAAGGATGGGGGAGAAACACCTTTTCCCCAACATTCTCCTAATTTTTTTTTTCTAAACTCAGGCCTCACCAAGCCTGTGGTCATCTGGAGGGGAGAACTGCTATATATTAAAACCTCCTTGTTCGCACCTTTAGGGGGTCCCATGTGGTCTGGTGATCAGCAGTCATCTTGGAGAGTACAGGTCCAAAACCTTAAAATCATAAAATCTGGCATGTTCACCTCTGCTCCCAAACCGTACATTTCTACATGGCTAGTCTTAGAGAATTCCACCACTTTGCCACTTAAAAAAAAAAAAAGACATGGCTAGTTCAAGTGCGGTGGTGTTTGCAACTAATAGATCACAACTAGATTTCTTTATTTCTTCTTTAATCCCACTGCTTCACTTGCCTAACCTTTAAGTTTAAAAAAAAAACTTTAAAAAAAATTAGTTTTTAAAAAGAAATGCAACAAAATACCAATTCTACAGGACACAATTTGGTATTCAGAATATACATGGCCTTTGTTATAGAAACATCTTGTGTAGACGGTGGCACAAGCCTGCAGTCTTACAAAATCATTCAGTGGGTGAGTTCTAGGAGCTTCTTTTAATCTGGATCCCTGAACCAGAGCATCCCCTCATTCCTTGCATAAGAACTACTACAGTGTATGGATAAAGAGATCAGAGGGTTTACTGACCACTGAGCCCAGTGAGATACAGTCTATAGCTTCTAGCCTTAGACAGACCTCTGAGGCCACCATGGATTTCAGGGACAGAGAAGAGGAGTTGTAAAGCGTATGGCCAGGGCAATGTCCAGGGCTGCATACTTTGGAGAACCGTTGCTCTTACACATTCTTCCAGGACCCACACAAGAGACAGTGCAAGTCTCGTTCCTGGATGCCTCTGGATAGATCACAAAAGTCTATTCATTAATGTCCAGCTTAGACTGTACCCCTTGCCAAAATGTTCTTTCTCCCACAATGCCCTGCCACACTCTCCAGTGTCGTGCCCCAGAGTGATCAACATGCACTTCTTGATGTCATGAAAGGCTCTGAGTGATAGAGTACATTTGAATGTGAATTCTTAATACTTAGTACCCAGAGAGAAAGCTCAAAATAATATCCTCCTCTCTCTGATAAATTAAAAGTCAAAGGAATACCAGTATATACAGTGCCATCCTCTCTGCTTTCCTCCTACTGTGCTCATTCTCAGCCAGTACATCTCACTCCACTGTCAGAAGTAGAGTCCAGGGCCTTCCTTCTACAACAGCAGTGCAACCTCTTCTACCAAGATGGGGATAACTTCTGTTCTCTCCAAAGTTCAATGCGTCCAACCTTGCATCTCTAGTATCTCACTTTTTCCAGGAGGTCACTTAGTAGGCTTATGAACAACATCCCCACATCAGCCTGATCCACAAAATTTAGAAAACACAAGCAAAGTCCAGGCTGCTATTGCAAATTTAAGGTTCCACAACCCAGAGCATAGTACCACATGACTATTGCTAATGCATGACCATGGCAGAGATCCGATAATTTGCTGAGGAAGCAGGAGACACAGAGAGCACATGAAAAAGGAAAACTAGAACCTTTATTTCAGTCTTTTCAAAGACAGTTGAGTAGAATCAAACGCACTGTTGAAAAAAAGGCACCACCAAGAGGTTAATTTTGCACTCTGCTTCGTATATCCTGGGGGAAACAATCCAATCTCAGCATTCTGCCTCCTCTCTCTGAGAATGACCTTTGAAATATTCATGTCTTTGTGAAAAATTCAAAAATGTAAAATGGGTCCTCTCCAGTCCACAGGCTTACTTGAGGCCCCCTCCTTCCCCTTGGTATTCATGCACATATTTGAGATGTATCTCGCTTTCCATTTCCCTTTAAACCCTGCATTCCTGATCCCGGGTATGTTGATCCCTATACCACTGTAACTTCTGCTATTTTCTTCTCTGGAATTTCTCCAGCTCTTGCCCCATCCAGGCCCCTGGGCTTTTTCTTTGTCTCAGCTGGAGTCAACCTCCAAATCCTGAAAACAGACTGTTGATGATGCAGAAGGTAGGGTTTCCTCCCCCCCACACACCCCCCACCCAAAGCCTCCCCTTCCCTCAGAGTCCCAGTCCTTAAGTAAGGTGCTGCTTCAGTGTTAGCAGGAACATTTCCTCCTCAACATCTCCTTGAGTCTTGTCCCTGGTATCTCCTTGAGTCTTCTCTCTGACTGCTCTCCAACTTCTTTTAAGCAGAGTCAGCAAAGTTTACAATGTTCTAGAGCCTGATCCTTTTCCTAGCTCCATCCCTTCTGTCTCATGTTGAGATCACTCTCTGCTCTTGGGCCCAGACATTTGTTTTCCTAACATGCTTTTCTATATTATATTTTGAATTATTTTTCAAGAATTCTGGATCTGTCCAAAGCTTCCATTGCTCAGCTTTAATTCCTTGAATGAGTGATTCTACACATAAGGGGTCTTCCCATCACCACACCTAGGCTCAGCCCTTGCACCCTAACAGGTTTCCTTCCCTCCCTAGAGCTCCCTCTTTAGAGTCCAGCTCTAGCGCTACACCTTCAGAACACATGGCATGTCTGTTTTCTGTACACAGTAA